TAATTTTACACTTTTTTCCTCCTTTTTTTTTTTTAAAGAAATATTTCTGACTTTTTGCTGTTACAGAATTGGTAGGGATAACTTTTTCTTTAGTATTTTAGACATTGCAGCTTGGAAAGTTTAGAAGGGTTTGAAGTCAAGATCTATAGACCCACGATTCTAGAAGATTCGAGAAATATGTGACAAAATGAAAAATTTCTCCATCATGTCGACACGTAATGGATGTATTTTACAGAAAGTTTGCAATGAATTTCTTACCTTTTGGAGAACGTCTGGAAGAACAATGAAAACATAATATTTGAATGTTTTACTCCTGATACTAGAATCTTTTTCTTAACATGTTTATCTTCCATTTATTTTCTCTACCTTTCACTAGACACAAGCATCAAAAATATCAAAAATGCTTCTAATCTTATCACTGGGCAGGCATTATAGAAAGGGATTTTTTTTATTAATAAAGAAATTGAAAACTTACAATTTAAAAGATTAATCTAATATGTCTTAATGCACCATACACATAACTGGCACTAGGCATTTTCCCACTCGATGCAATCTCTGTGGATCCTAAATTCTGTTGCCTAGTGCCTTTGTAAATGCTTTCAATACTTGCTCTAATTTCTAAAATTTTTGCCATTTCTAGATTTTGTTGTTTGGGGTGTCATTAAATTCTTAAAATTCTGCCACATCAGCTCTGTAACCGGCCTTACATATCTCATATTTCTTCGGAATGTTCATATTACTAAGGAAATAAAATTAGCCACCTTTTCTGTACTTTCTAATTGTATTTAGTATTTTTTAGAATAACTGAAACCCTTAATTAAGATCCAAAAAATTCTAAAATGAAAAGGAACCGTGTTGAAGAAAGAAACTGAATACATAAAGAAAATTACTCCTCAAAGATATGTGCAGTTATTATTATGTAACTTACCCAATTGTTTATAATTTCAGCCTTTCGGTTTATGATTCAGTCGGGGGTTTGGGACTATTTAACTTTTATCAGATCAAGTAAACCCTCATAGGTATCTTGTGGAGATGTTGACAAGTTAGGAGATAAGCACGCAGAAACTAGCGAGAGCATTGGTTTGCATATTGAGACAACTCTCTAATTGTTAGAAAAGATGTTTTAAAGAGAAGGCAATCTATATAAATTAGCCAAAATGTTTGGAAAGGCTTCAAATTAAAATGAAGGATAAATATTTTGTTGAGTATGTTTTGTAACAACATTTATGTGTTACATAATTAAAAACATAAATGTTTTGTAGCTTTTAATGTGTATCCTAATATCGTTTAAGAATCAATGTCATAAATTACATGTATTTTAAACTGTGAAATTTTATTAGATTTTGATTTTAATAGGCTTTTTTAACAAATATTGTTAAAAAATAAAATTTAATAGCGGCCATGTAAATCCATAATGACTTACCTAATTTAATTATTTATAACTAACTGCTTACCCTTAAAAGTTATCTACATATTAAAGCGAGTTATTGTCTTTCATTAACACTTACTGTGGTCACAAGATAAAACACAAAAATTTAAAAATTCAAGTAAAACTTATTCTTTGCATCTAGTGAAACTTAAAAATAATACAAAACAACTTATCATCTCTGGTACTTTAATCGCTTATTGAAACATTAAAGTATATTAACTGGGCTACAATCCCTTGGAACTCTACACAAAGCTGTGACACTAACTGCATCAAACAGAGCCTAAGTTTCAGCACTTGCCAACTGTGTCTACATCAGACCTTTCAGGTTTGTTCTAATGAGCAGGTCTCTCTCTAGACAAGCAACAGCGGTGACAACATTGAGTCTTTTGTTATGAATCATGCTGATTTATGATCTTACTTCTCATTTTAACCTATACCATTTGACATAAAATTTGCCTGCTATTTACTAAACTTCTAGACTGACTAAGTATGTACCAAAATGAGACATAAAAAAATCAACATAAAGCTAACTATGTGAGAAATTTTATGTGGAAATACGTATATTTTAATCGCCAAAGAGGGCGTAAATCTTTCATGATGTTATACTTCTTGTTCTTGGATCTGGCAGAGCCAGTTGAATGTGTGTTAGACATGAATAAACTTGGCAGTTTTAGAAATCTCATTTGTAGTGTGCATTTACTTTGATGTTATGTGTGATTTGAATTAGTGTTTTTTGAACCAGGATATCTTGAAATTCTTGACAGTTAATATAATATTTTATAAACTACAGTCAAAAGTCGTTAGTTCGGACATCCATAATCCGGACCTTAAAGCTACAAACTTTCTGCGCATGCGTCGTGCGTGTCTTTTACGGCTGCAAATATGCTTGTGCGCATGCGCGTAATACGTTTACGCTTGCACATTTAATGTATAACGGACGATATAAGCTAAGCTAAAATTATCTAATTCAGTTAATGTTGCAGATTGTGTTGTTCCTTAATCTTCGAATTGGATCTGGCTTATTATTTTTTTGCAGATTGTTAGAGCAATTTTATTAAAGTAAGCTTGAACTTTCGATTATGTCAAATAGAATTTCCGATATATATTACAATATGTAAAGGATCTACAAGCGAAAGTATGTTTAGAAGTCCATTAACAAAAAAGTGGAATTGCTGCAAAAAATGGATAAAGGCCATATCCTTCGTTTCTCAAACCATTCCGAAATCTGTTTATCAATTTCACGCTGCTCTGCGGCCCGGGGTGGGGTGGGGGGGGAACGCCGAAACAACGCGCTGCACTATGAATTGGAAGTTAATCTGTCAGCACTATCCTTATCTTCAGGCAGATGTTTTATCTTTTAATTGTTTTAATTTTATTTTTTACAGGTGTAAAAGCATTTAGTTTTTATATTAGTTTACTATCCCTAGTTTTTATATTATCCCTAGTTTATATTATCCTATATATATTTTATATTATCCTAGTTTATATATTTATATCCCTAGTTTTTATATTAGTATACTATTACTAGTGTACTATTTTTATATTAGTTTACTATACCGAGTTATCTCGGGTAAATAAAAAAAAATTAAATATTAGTCATTGTATGAAAGCTTTTGAAACAAGAGACAACACAAAGTGAACTCTAACATTCTATACACTGGTATCTGGTCTCTTTTCTTACTGGCTTACCTCTGGAATCTCTTTTGCGGGAGCACAGAGGACACTGTCTCATTGGATTTGATTTTTTTTCAGTAGCAGGAATAATATCTGAAAAATGCCTTGAGGTTATAATGACTATCTGAAAAATTATCACTTTCGCTATCTTGCATCATCGTAATTATTTTACTTTTTTCTACACAACTATGATTCTTTATACATTACTAATCCACAAGCCGACGTATACTAGACAATAGGGAAAACACGTGACCAGTCCCACCAAAAGAACCACGAAACCATCAAAACTTGGCGAATTGCCAATAAAAGCTGAATATTTCCTTTCATTTCCTCCAAGCCAAGTGAAACCGTGATAAAACAAATCGTACTGACAAATTCTGCTTCGCCCGAGTTTTCTCGGGATAATAATTAACTGCAATATATACGAACCCGGGATAATCAGGTGAACGGTTAATAAATTATGGGTACTGTACTAATATTTATCTGCTCAATTTATAGTGTTCTCTGGGAATGTTCATGTAGTAAATACTTTTATATTATTTGTGCTGCACATCTGGGGTAAAACAGTGAATACATATTGGCAGAAAGAAATGCAACAGAACCAAAACTCATCTATACATAAAATGGTGTGAAAGTAATATTTTTCACAGAAAATGCTTTAACCATGTTATTCTGTAAGAATAAGTACAAAAATGCATATAATTTCCATCAATATCTAAATTATCCTCTAAGAAAGCTTCCCATTCCGAGTCACTCGCATTTTTATATTAATCTATTTCCTTTTTGGTTCTTTTACGTGACATAATTTTTGTGGTGGTGCACATGCGTATTATTTGAAACTGAATAGTTTGTCACATGCAATAATATCTGACAGTTCGAGCACAGGCAAACATGTTCTTAAGCAATGTGTGAAAGGAGCAACTGAGCTCAGAATTTATGGAGGTATTGAAAAAATCTGAAAGTTTTCAGATTTTATATTACGCCGAAAGGGGAGTGTTACCTTTATTTATTAAATTATTAATTTGTGTCTTACCTTTATTTATTAAATATTATGTTCTTCGCACTAAAACCATAAGATTCAATTCAACAGCAATATCACAAAATATTTAAAAACATGCCTTTGGAAGCTTATGTGTTTTACAGTGATGTATAGTTTCATTGATTACGTACTTTATAATGATGTATGTTAATTATCAGGAGAAAAAGCACAGATTATAGCTCTAAATGAACATATTGCTTTCTTAATTCACTCCATAAAACTGAAATGATCAAAATTCCACCTGTGTACCATACCAAATAAATGGGCTGGTACGGTTGGTTTTCTGCATGTGTAACTTGAATGCAAGCCTATTTCCGGTAGAAAATCCTCAACGAAGACAGCCCTCCTGTTAGGCAGATAGCCCTCATGTGCTTTGCCATATTCAAGTAATGTAACCTCACTTTCTTAACTCATATAAGTGATTCCCAACCTATAGTGGCCTCACATTTCGTAGATATATTTGATTAGCAAGCATTCTTTGCAAAAGTAATGCCATTTTGATAAGCTATGTTCATTGCTGCCTAATATGTCATGACTTATAACTTCTCATACAAGTACCAAAACATATTTCATATCAGCTTGCAAAACATTTTCTTTTTTCTTTTAAGTGAATTTTCCTTATTATATTTTTGTAATTTCATGGATATAAAAAATAAATATTCACTTCCTCATTGTAACATTATTGTGTCTGCAATGTATTTCTACTTGTCAGTCATTTTAAAATATTTACAATGGTTCTTAATTTAAAATAGTGTTTTGTAATAGGAATTTATTCAATGAAAGTAAAATTTTTTATGATATCAGCATGTTTAAAGAATTTTTCGCCAATTGTGTAATAAACTTTTTTTATTACCTCAGCACATGATCAAATATAGGTATCTTCCATGGACAAGAGGGAAGACTAAATATAGAGGTAAAGAAGATTCTGGTAAAGTAATTTTAACAAAATGAAAGCATAGTTCAATGTAGATTGATATAAAATGGTCAGAGTTATGAAGTCGCTAGCATGTTGGAAGTATCTTTCAAGCTTTGACTTCAAAAATAATTGAGTTTACAAGTGAAGGATCAATATCATCATGAATACAAGAAGTTTTCATCAAAATAATGCTGTGTGTGTGTTAAAAGGGAGAAAAAATTAATAATTATTTTTCGTCAGCATCATATTTTCACCAAAACATTGAATTTTACATATGGCTTATTTATTTGTATCATTTGATTAATCTACATTTTGTTCTAAAAATTTCTTTTCTGCTTTAATTATCTCATATAATTTGATAAATGCTGTAAGATGTTACCAAAAATTATGTTCTGTTCAAGTTGTATAGATTCATATGGAACTTTTTTTAAAAAATAAAATATTAAAATTGGCTAATCTGATTAAATAAATTAAATTGAAAATTTGTCTCTTCAGAATCTTTTATTTGTGTTCACGTATACAGGGCTGCTATAAATGATTCATACAGTTTCAAAGCACCTTACTTTAAAGTACTTTAAGTATTTTATAATAATAATAATTATGCAAAAAGAATTAGAAATGCATCCAAGCATTTTCCCATTTGCTAAAAAAAATTCTATACATACCCCTTAGGTCACATAATATACATTCAACTAGTAATCAAATTCAGTCACCTTTTGTAGTAATAGCCCCCAGGTCTTGTGATAAAAATGACAAGTGGTTTCTGTGTTTGGGGCTACATTAAGTATTGTGTTTTTGTACACCTCTTTCCAAATGCCAACAAAACTAATAGAATTCATCAGTTGCTGCTGTAATTGACCATTGATAAGGGATAGCTGCTGAAAGTATGGACGAAATTCAATATGCTTGGATATGTGTCATGCTATTAGCAAGGCACACATAGAACATTAGTAGTGTATGAAAGAAATTTAGTAAATTATGATTCTTTTCTATATCACTTGCTATTATATATGTAATACTTTTAAAAATACAGTGTTTTGAATTCTGATGAATTATTTATAATAGCCCACTATTTTGCATTCTTTTAATTTATTCCAGTAACTAATTATATTTGGTTGCATATTTAAAATGGTTTGGTAATTAAATTGCATCATAATCCAAAAGTCCCTGATGCATTTAAAAAATACATAAATAAGAAAAAGGTAAGTGATTACTGTAGCAATTTGAAAAGTTTAAAAAAATTTTCTGTTATTAAATCTATGGTGTCAAAAGTAATTTATTTTAATATGATAAAAATATTTCCTGGTTTCAAATTACTATTTGCATACAAATATATTGCAGTGAATGTAACTGCTTGCAATAATACCTGAACAAGAATTTTCCCGACAGATGTATTTGACAGCATGCTATATTCTTATGGCTTCCAGTTCACCAAAAACTAGAAATCTTCATTTATTATGAACAAATAATGTATGTTGCAAATGACAAACATTGCAGAACTGAAAACATAGTATCAAATACTGGAAAGAATTTTTATGCAAAATATTGCAGTCAGTTTTGATATGTACTTGGACTGAAATTAAACATGGATTAGATCTGTTTTTAGCCGTGAAAGTTTCATATAATTGAAGTTTTGTAATGATGTGGTAAAACAATTTTTTAACAGTAAGAATATCTGTAGATTTTGTTTATATTTATTTGGATTTTTAAATGTGTCAAGGACTTTTAAACCAACCTATATGTTCAAATTTGTGTACAACTGGATATCTATAAAATGCTGTGTTCAGGAATGAAAATTCTCTGTATGTATGAATTCCCAAAAGTATTTATACTCGGGGTTAATTCTGGCAATATTTCATAAAACATTAAAATATTTTTTCTTGCATAAAATGGTAAATGTTTGCAGAGTAGCTTTTTTCAATAAAATTTTACTCCTTGTAGGTTTATGCAAACAGTAAAGTATATATTGATTATTTTTATTTTGATGTTGTGCATTTCAGTTTATGTAGACTATAATATTTGTTTCTTTCAGTAAATAAATTATTTTTATTGCAAGACTGTCTCAAAGTTTTAATTTTGAAATTGTCTTGGTTTCATATTTATAAAGGCATTATAATGTGTAAATAGGAAGAAATGATTTGTTATGATGTAAAAGTTTTTATTAAGCATTTTATGCATATTTGATTGCATTATAGTGAATAAAGTAATGTCATACAAAAGTTAGTATGTTTCTGAATGTATTAATCTGTGCGCGTCTGTCTGTTTATAACCTCATCTCCTCCGGAACGGCTAATTGTGGATGCATACGTGAATACAGCATGCGCACCCCCGGTAAAATCGCTGAACACTGGTAGTTCGGTCCAACTTTAGAATAAAGGCGAATGAAAGTGGCTTGTCCGCTAGTCTATACCATTAAAATCTGTGTGCGACTGTCTGTAGCATTATCTCCTCTGGAGTTGAGTTTTGAGAGAAGTACCATCAACTTTGAAAAATTTGTGGAAAGCCATTTTGACCATTCTCATTGTCTGTAGCATTATCTCCTCCGGAGTTGAGTTTTGAGAGAAGTACCATCAACTTTGAAAAATTTGTGGGAACCCATTTTGACCATTCTCATCTTTATGTGACTAATCAGCCGAGATATTAATGAAAAACTTTGAAAATGCTAATTTTTGCCCACATTTTTCCACCTGGCAACAGTCTCGCACACTGGAGATAAAAATCTGCTGTATTTCGAAAAGTGTTGCCACTACTCTCTTTCAAATCTTAGTTTGTTAATAAAAAATTTGTAAGTTTTACAAACTATGAAATAAAAGTAACATTGCCAACTATTAAATATATAATTATATGAGGTAATATTCTTATGTTGAAGAAAGTATGCAATTGCATGTGACATCACTGTATGTTGAAAATTGTTCGTTAATAATCAGCAATCTAAGTAAATAGCTGCTTTTGGCAACTTTTTTGTTTCAGGTTAGTATAACTGACAAGATATTTGTTGCCACGTTAATTCTTTTATTGATATTGAGAAAATGTTATATTGTTTTTAATTTAGTTAACCTGAAGTGTCAAAAAGTTTTTGTTTCCTGTTTTGTCAATAGAAAAGAATTATTTACGAATTGGTCGTTGCTTGGTAGGAATGAAGTGATTTCATTCATACTAAAATGTTTTGTACATTTGCTTTTCAGCGCTATATAGAACTTATAAATTTTGCTTTGTCTGCAGCCCACTCATTTAAACTATATTAAATTGTGTAAATTATTTCAAATTACTATCAGAAGCTGCAATATGTTTAGATATTAAATTGTGCATTTCTAAAAATTTTGTTCACATTTATAACACAATAAGGGAAATTTTATCTTTTCTCCTCTAACTTAAACAAAAATAGTAGTGGGGAAAATAAACATTTAGAAGATCTATTCCTACTCAAGATCCAATAATTAAAACAGCCAGATTATGAATGAGCTAATATCAGCTTAAAAGCAGATCTGTGCTCCTCAATGGAAAGCTTTTAGAGAGCACTCTTCAGAAGACTTTCTCCAACTCGTAACATTCGTACCATGTTAAAATGCTGTTCTTCATCAGCTTAGGGGTAGCCTCACTCAATGTTGCATCAGTATTCCATGACTTTCGGCATTTATAATATATGCATACTGAAAGTATTTTAATTTTTATAGTGTAAACTATTACATTTTTTCAATATAGTGCTCCAGGGCTTGTGACACTTAGCTGATATATCCAGTTAGCCAATACCACATTTAGGTGGAAACATACAAGAGTAATTCAAATATTTCTTCTGTTTATCTGACCGAATACCATATGTAGGCTACACAATGAGAATAATTTTTCTATGCATTGTTAAAAAAAAATTAAACTGGGAAAGAACGAAAACTACTGCTCTGTATATTTTTAGTGAAACTCTTCAATTTCAAGAGCAATCGAACGAAAGTTTCATCTTTTTAGGATGAAGAAAAAATTTCATAGCAGTGGGAAAAATTAAATGATTTTATATGGGCACTGCTACACTCATTTAGATTTACAGCTACTTACTATACTTTATTTTTTTTAGCAATTTTATTTTAAAATAAACGATTCTATTTTGTAATCACAATACTTGTAATAAACTGAAAAGTTTCTAATTAGTAGACAAATGCTTCTTAGCTAAATTTAATAACTTGACTTTATTCTTACCGTTACAAATTTATCAAACTTTAATATTTATCTTAAAATCAAGGTTGAATTTTAAAAACATTTTTGGGTTTGTCTGTTGCAAATGTTCAATGTTGATAATTTATTTTTATTCTTATGTTAAATATAAATATGAAGCTTTAGCATATATTGATTATAAAATAAGTTTTAATAACTATTTGTATTGAAAAAGTGTACATCATAAAGTGCAGATTTACACAAAACAATAATAATTAAAAAAAGATTACAGAACAGTATTTTAGGAAGCAATTAAGAATTATGCTAATTATTTTGATAATTTACAAAATTGTGCAATATCAGATTTCTCTAAAGGTTTAAAACATAATCTATGCAGCACAATACAAGTCTTATAATAAGCAGAGTTTCGACATAATAGTAGGTGTGGCTTCCATTTGATGTTATAGCCAATTTTTGGAAAATACAAAGTGCTTTAAAAAGCATTAAGTTACCTTTTTAATGGAAATAAGAAAATTCTCTCCCCCCCCCTTTGTATTAGCACATTACAACAATTTTGTTTTCTTCAGCGTTAAATTTCTTGATTAAGACGTGGTGAATTAAAAACTTATAGAAATGTATATCCGATTTTAAGATGCAAGCTTTAGGAAGTTACAAAGATCAACTTTCCTATTCCCTTGTATGCACAATATACAGTATGGGGTGCTAGAAGTGAGATTTCTTTTTTTATGGACATTGGTAGAAAACTCAGCATGAGCAGTGCAGTTCCTTTAGGATAACTCATGAAGAACCCTATTTGCGAAGCATTTATTAGTTAGATTTGTAGAATGACTTTTTACTTTTATGTTTTATACTGCATATCATTCGTCCCCAAAAACTGTCAGATTAAAGCTCAAACAAATCTCTCTCTCAAAGCAATAAAAACACATAGCTTCCAATGATAGCATATTTCATTGCTTTGCTCTCCACTTCTCTCATTAGTTAGACTGGTCTTGCTGTTATTTCTTCTTAATGCAACATTGTCAAAAATGTAAAGTTCATTCAAACATGGGCATGCTTAATTAGTTTATTAGTAATGTATCAAAAGTATCTGCCAATGAAAATAAAATAAATTTTAAATTGAAAATGATTGAAATATCTAATTCTTCTCTTAATAATCATTACACACATACATATGTGTGGGCCTATTTTGGAAGGTTTATTTATTTTTTTGATAACTGCAGTAGGAAGTAAGCATTTATCCAATATGGCAGCTCACCAAAAAGGAAGGTTTTCGAAGAGTTTAGGTTCTGAAATAACTATGTCATCAGCGTTACGCAAGCTTTGTGCCTGATCTAGAAATGACACAGTCCAGAAATATTATTATTTTAAAAAGTGAGGAATTAAGATGCTGTTAAATTATAAAACTGATACATATTGTATTTGTGTGAAATTTTTTTTGCAGTAAGGCAAATGTATTTTTGTTGAGAATATAGTAATACTTTAATTAAAATTCACATATCACATAGAAACAAATTATTTTATTGCTAAATGCTTGCAAAAACAAATTATTTTATTGCTAGATGCTTGAAAATACAAAATAGGGATTTCTAATGCATATATGCTAATTGTAAATTTGCATACAGTCATGAAAATGTTAAAAACTATGCATAGGTTTCTTTTACTCATGCTATATGATTCATACACAAATATATTTCAGCTTTATTCTACTTTTTAGCAAATAAAGAAACTAAAATTTAATAAACTAGTTTTAACATATACACGACTTTATCATTAAAAAATTATGCAGTTTTTTAAAGACTTAAATATTTTAATCCTTGAGTTTATAAGGCTATGAGCACATGTGAGGAACTTTAAAAGTCATGACAAACACACAATTAGTGTCATGAAATAAAAATACATTGCTCATTATTTAATTTTACTTTCTGAGGTTAAAAACATGTGTTTCTACAAAAACAACTTATCTAGATGTATAAGTAGTACATCAGTATATAAACTATAAATATCAATATGAGAACTGATTTTTTTTTAATGTATCACTGAAGGTAATTACTTAGAGAATGAGACTCATTTTTTGATGAATTCTCTTTTACTTGCTGTGTTAATTTAGATACTATTACAATCGAGTCACATCAAATACTAAGCAATAAATGAATTACAACTTTTTTTTAAAAAAAAATACAAGTATTCATCTTACTATTAAAAGGAAATTAAATAGTTTCAAAAAGGGATATTTTTGAGAAATACCTAGTTTTTAGAAATGGCTGCTAAAAAATATCCCTTCAAACTAAATTTTCTAGCACCGTAATAATTGCATGAGTTTACCTATATTAAGTGCATTGAATGAAAGCATAACGTAAAATTACAGAAACAAAGGAAAAATTAGATAAATGAACTATTATGTCAAGATCTCTTTAACATCGTTTTAAATCTAATTAAAAAAATAGGAAAGGTTCATATTTTAACGATTGTCCAAAGGGCTCTTTTAATGTTTAATACAGTAGAGAATATTGATAAGGCCTTGGTGGAATATTTTATAGGATATTAGATGAACAAGCATTTAGACTAACATAGGAACCTTATACATCTTCTGTTTATTTAAAAAGTGAAAAAATATGCTTTCTATAAAAATATTTAATGTTTTTAATTATATATATCATGAACTAAATGCATTTTTTTTAAATCAATCAGATTAAAAAGTAAAACATTTTTAAGAATTACATCCACTGCTTTTAAGCAGTTTAGTTTGTTAATTAATGACATATTAATTAAATATGAAAGAATAATATCTTATAATTTTTCGAATGGCAACAAACTCGAATGAAAAGTGATACAACACAAACCTGTGTTCAGTCTAATAGCCCATTCGGACATATAGGATTGAACAGAGATCTGAATATTATATTACGGTCTTAGTAAAACCATAATACTAATTCAGAAGTCAACAACAAAATCAGCGTTAATTTACAAAATTTTGTAATTAACGTGATTTTTGTTGTTTGACTTCTGAATAGTATTTATTCAGCGTGTATTGTGTCTAAAACCAATATATGTAACATGCAATCTCAAATATATGATGATGCTACATATAAGACAAGCAGCATTATATAAAGTGTTTTTACATCTAAGGAGAAAAAGAGGAGGGGCTTTAACATTGGACAAACACAATGAGCTCTGTATGTTGGCACTGTTTTACAAGAAATGTAACTGAATGAATTTGTCGTATTTTGACTAAAAGTCTATACATAAAAACAAATTATCTACTTTTCATGCCAAAAAAAATTAAAGAATAATTGATAAATTTTCTTAATATTTTTTAAATGTAAGACAGGAAAAATTTTCAGAAAGGCATTTTTGGTGGAGAGGGAATATCTTATATTTAGGCTGTTAAAACTGACACTTAGATACGTCTTAAATATTGTTTTACAATTTAAACAAAATTTATAGTTTTTGTAAAGGAATATCACTTATAAATAGTTATACTATAAATTGACTGTTACTCTTATTAAAAGCAAATGGTAAATTTAATATAGTTATTATTTTTTATGTTATACATTGTATTGATGTATGCTATTTTTTCAAAAACTGACTATTTTTTTCATCATGCTACATGTTCTTTTTAATTTTTATTGTTAGATAATTTTCTTTATTCTTTCTTTTTCCCACACCTTCTTTTCTTTTCCCCTAATGCGTAATCTAAAATAGAAGTAACGTGACCCACCAATAAAAATTTTTAAGGGGGAAAAAAATTGAAAAATGTCCCACTTGAAAAAAACGTTGCTGACCACTGGTCTTGCTCCTTGCATATAAATATAGGCTGACTGAACCATCCCAGTCAAGAAAATTGTGCTAAATATGTGTTTATTATCATTTAAAATAGCACAGTTAGTATCAAAATAGGTTGATAAAACCATATATCTTGGAAAATATTCACATAAATAGAGTACACATAAAAATATTTTTTCATTCTCTCTGCAACAATAATATGTATGATTCCAGTAACAACTATAGTTGAAAGTTAAATCTCAAAAATATAAAATAAATGCATTTAAATTTTTTCAATATTTAGCCAGTTTCCTTACTAGTTAGCTTGCAGAATAAATAATAAAAGTAATCTTGAGATGTTGAAAAGTATTAGTTATTGCAATAGAATAAAAAAAAATTATAAAAGAACAATGTAAACACATTTCATTTACAAAAATGTTCAGTATAAAATGTACAAATACAAAACACACTATAAATATTTACAGACATCAGCAAAAATGTATGAAAATATACATAATGAAATCAAAATTTTTAAGGATTTGCAGAAAAAAAGGATGACATATTGAGCGACAAATGAAATACTACTTATAAGTATACAATACTACACAATATATAATATACATATTTGCTTGACCCCAATAAATTATGGCAATAGTATAAAAATGGCAAAAAGTCTTAATGATAAAGGCCTTTCTTTATTTCTTACTCAGAATAGCCTGGGCTTTGTATTGCTCCTCTAAATAAGTTTGAGATAACATGAGAAGGCGATATCTTTGATGTAAGTTGCGAGCTCGAACATGAGAATTGATTATTTCTACAGCATGGGAAGATGGGAACCAGCCTCGGACTCCATCTCTAATCCTCTCCCCTTCAAACCAACCTAATAGCAAAAATTAATGTTTTTAGTTATTTTGTTCATAAAATAAGATTTAGCAAAATTTTTGTTTCAATAAATTGCATTTAAAAATATTATCAAATGCTGTTTTTTTAGATAAAATCCATAATGTATATCATTCATATAAGAGATCTATCTTATCATTACAACATATTTGGTGTACATTCATATACCTATGAAGAGTTATTTTGCTTGATATTCAAAAGCTTTATCATATTTCCAAAGTGATAAACACAATTCTCTGACCTAACATTTCCATTAAATCTTAATTTTATTCATGGAAAAGAATATACTTATATAATTTTAAAATACTCAACACCTAAACATGCATTTACTTCATTTTCTTTCTTTGAAGAAAACAAAACTTGAAAAAATACCAGTTATATCAATATGAATTTTAACATTTTTATTAAAATGTGCATGCTAACAAAAACAGCTAACTATATGCCTAATCATAACTATCAGATGTATAATAATGTATTACAACAGAAATTGCCTAATTATTTTAAGAATTAAAAATTTGGGAGTGTGACATTCAGTAGACCTAAAAAAAAAAAAAAGGTTACCATGCATATCTGTAATCCCATTTCAAATACTTAACATAAAATGACAATTCTACTCCCTCTCTCCATTCTCTAAAAAATATATCTTTAACTTAAAACACATTTTTGTAAAGAGCTTTAATTTATAAGTTTTACTTACATGCCATTCTATCATTAAAAATCTTTAATTTAGCATTTCTGAAAAGTTATAAGCTATATTATTACTATACCTTTTTACAGGATGTATGCAAATAATCCATTTCTAAAAAAATTATTCGGACATTCATTTTGAAGATCATAATTATTTTTAGTTAACCTTTTTTTAACTACAATTATCACAAAGGAAATCTATTTTTTTTTTTTTTTTCCTCAGGACTTATTTCCATCATTCAAACAGAAGGATATACCAATCTGTTATTATTATAATGTTTTAGCTGCACAAGTACTTAAACTGTTAATGTGATTTTAAGGTGTTGTTGAGTGAAGGATTAAAATTACTAAAATAAATAAATGACTAAAATCTAATCATTATAATATATGGATTTTATAAAGCAACAGCAAAATTAGACATAAATTTCATTTGTGAAACTTATTATTATCTTACCATCAGCCATTTTCCTGAAGACATTAACCACATCAGCTTCTTCTAATGATAATTCATCAGGCTGTTGAGCATTGTAAGCATGTGTGCACTGAACTTGTGGACAATCTAAAATAAAATATGTTAATATGTCAATTTATTATAATAAAAGAAGCATATTTCTCCCATTAAACAGAATTCTGCTGTATAAACTGAATGAAAAAACATATTTCACATTCATTTAAAAGGAAAATTTGGTTGAATATATTAATGAAAATCTGCTAATATATTAATTACAAACCTAATAAATCAATAATCATAAAACAAACAAAATATTAAATGACTTCAAAGACTACACATAAGCACTTAAGTTTTTAATTAATTTATAATCATATAATGAATTAAATAGCTCCCAAATCAAAACTGGATTGTAACAGAAAAATCTGTACACAGAAGAGAGACTTAGCTACATTAAAAATGTCAATTCCATCAATTCCATAAATAAAATGGACCTGACAAAAAGAGACCAAGAAGCTGACTGAACATAGACTGGGGGGGGGGGAACTGAATGAAATTTTAGCAAGCTTGGAAGGTGGGATCAAAGTGACTAGGGCTGAAAGCCTAGCTTTACTACCATCTTGACATGAAAATAATAACTGTGATTATAATGATATTAATGTTAATAGACAATCTTAAATACCTTATGAAAGTTTTACTAATGCAGTCGTATTATTTCATTTTCCCATAAAATTAGATTTAAATAATAGAAAGTTAATTTATTAATTAACATTAAACAGATGATAAGCATGACTAACTAATTAGAAATGAGTTTAAAATGTAGAATGTAGTTAGCACCTAAGTGCAAACTCAAGGGCAAAAGTGCATTTTCATTAAAACAAAACAGTGGAAAAAAGTTTTGCCTGTCAGTAGCACTATTAATCCTGCATAGTGTATCTTTATAGCTGTTCTCTGTAAAAGCTCTTAAAATACACTTTAAATCATGTGTACAGCTTGTGATTCCCCCTTATTTATATGAAAATAAAGACTTTTGTAGCAGTTGAAAAAATTATGATAAAAAACAGTAATAAATTTTTAAAGAATTAAGATTATTTTTTTCTGTTTTGATCATCATTACTGTATTATGAACAGCCTGTTTATCAAATAAAAAAACCATGTATCATGCCACTTGGATTTTAAAACTTGATCAAAAGGTTGAATCCATAACTACAAAAACATGAAATTATAACAGTGTGTTTAAAAAAAGAATAAAAACAATTATGTTAAGCATTCTGGTGTGGCTCGACCTGACACTAGACTGTAAATTGTAATAACATATTCCATTAAACTAATAACTTTTAAAATTTTGTATAATACCAGCAATGGGAAAACTAAATATATCAAGAATAAAAAAAGCATGAAAGAATAACATCAATGCAAATACAGCATCTCATATTTCTATTGGTAAAAATATGATTATAAAAATTAAATACCCCATTCTTCATAAATCTTCTCATCAGGATTTTCAGATTTTGCAGGAGTCACTGCATCCATCCAACGAGTGCGATCACTCCTGCAGAAGATAAAACCAAGCAATTCAAATGTAAGAAATTTTTTTTTTAAAGTTCTGTATAAAGTGAATCAAAATGGTGTTTCAGGTTTTAAGGTATCTTAGCACTTTCATGGAATGTAATAAAAATGGTTAATGACAATAGAGTCGCCCAACCTGTATAGTGGTTGGTTGGCGTTGCTTACTGCCGTGCCAAAGGGCCCAGGTTCGAATCCCGGAGAAGGCATGGAGGTTTGTAAACATATAGTGTCGGTGCGGCATGGCGGCAAGCTGAAAGTCCTCTTGTGTGGATTGGTGGAAGGGGAGAGGGGTGGGAAACTCCTGGATCCCCCTGCAGTGCTCTCTTTCAAAATTGGGGGTGGAAAATAAAAGTCCAACCTCTGTTTGGAGTAGGCTCTGGCAACCATTGTTCCACGTAATATGGACAAGACAACAACAATGACAATAGAAATAGAAATATTCCTTACAAACATATAAATTCCCTAGATTCCCAGCTTTTGTAACATGGCAAAATTCTATCTCGTAATCCAGTTTAAACCATGCTGAGAAATTAATAAATTAGCTATACAGCTGCTGACAACTAATTATATCTGGCAGCCTCGATTATTGCAATAATGCAATATGACTTTTTCCTCTGCAGCTGCATTGAACATTCAATCAGCACAGTTAGGTGGGAAACAGTTTTCGACAATCATATAGTTCGAAATCTATGGCTTTTAGGTATTTTTTTAATTTTTAGATATCAAACTCTAACATTAGTTGTTGTGTTACTTACTTCTTTTTCCTGCCATTTTTATCACATACTCAAATTTAAAAAATAAATAATTATTTAACTGAAAACAGTACATGATTACCTATTTTTCTCTAAACGGTTAAATGCAGAAAAGTATTGTGCAGATAAGTGCATCAGCTGAAGGATTAACAATCAGAAATATATATTAATCTGATTCACATGGCAATGTTGGAACAATTAAGTGTCAAACTAGATTATTACTGCCCAAATGATATAGTGGTTAGTGTTGCTGACTGCCATGCGAAAGAACCCGGGTTTGAATCCCAGAGAAGGCATGGATGTTTGTAAACGTATAGTGTCAGGGCGGCACTCTAAATACGCAGTAAGCCGAAATTCCTTTTGTCAGGTTTGGTGGAAGGGGATAGGGGTGGAAGACCCTCGGACAACCCCCCTCCCATGCTCACCTTCAAAATTGGGGGCAGAACTGAGCTAAATCGAACTGTCACCTGAATGGTGCTCAAGGCTGTTGCCAGCAGCAGGCATATTCTAGCGCTCCTTGCCATGAGGAATTTTGTGGGCTTGGGCTGACTACGTCAAACAAGTGAGCATAAGCAACAAACATAAACAACTAGGTTATAGATTACATGAATTTTAACACACATTGAAAATTTGTTAACACTGTAGAAAAGTGAACAAGTCTTTCATCTTACCATACCTATATTACGCTATAATCTTTCTCTTTGAAATGAAGCAGTACACCAAGACCTTGGAAATTATGAATTATCCTGCATAATGGATAACATTCATATCCTAAAACAGTGGTTCTCAACTTGTTGCTCAAGGCATCACTTTCACCACTGCTAGACCATCACTCCCCATTTTCCAAACCTCAAAAAATATATACACATTTATTTAAATTTATATTAATAGTCCAAAAGGGCAATCTGCCCAGGACTATTAATTTCGTTATGGCATTTTGTGTCGATTCATGATAAGTGTTATTTCACTTTTCAAATTGTTGCCCCCAAATATTATCGCACTGTATTATATATTTAAAGAAATTAAATAATGAAGAATCTGCATGAATGTATGTATGTTTCTTGGATTGTGATACAACAACAGTACCTAGAGCCGTCAAAATTTGAATAACATAATTTTCCATAGAATATGGGCATGTGAAGCCCTAATTTGAATTTGAAATTTGTTTTATTATCGATTTCACATTTTGTAACACTTCAACGAAATTTTGATTGACAAACTTAACAATTTCAAAGTAAGCAATGGCAAAACTGTAAGGGGGGGGGCATTTTCATCTCCAGCGCACAAGACTCTGTATCGGAAATTTTAAAGATATGCTCATTTAAAAATTATTTTGTAATATTGCTGTTGAACTAAGTTTTATGGTTTAAAAGTGCAAAGAACAAGATATTTAATATATAAAGGTAACACACAAAATGTTAAAAAAATGTCCCTTTTGATATAATTTAAAATCTGAATCTTTAAAATCTTTTTTAGTATTTTTTTAATGTGTTTTATATATTAAACAAAAAAAAAAAAAGTACAGAAAATGTTGATAAATTCCAAAACCCGACTTAAAGCAGTATTTTATATTTGTAAACTGAAGTTAAATGTTTAATAGCTAAATAAAAAACCTGACTGCATTCCCCCTGAAACTTGAAATTCCCCCCAAGAAAGGAGTCCCCCGCCCCCGGGTTGAGAACCTCTGTCCTAGAGGAATGTTCTTTAAAATTTAGTGTAAACAGTTTTAAAAATTCTTTTACTATTATTTCTTAAACTTTACAGTGCTCAAATATGGTAAAATATTATAATAAACTGAGAATTTTCTTCAAATTTTCAACAAGAAATTTCTCCCCTCCACATTTATCTCAAAAACTGCATTTTAATACTTTCCTACATATTTTCTATTTTTTAAAACTTAAGCCAATTGGACATTACTGCCAACTTAACTGATGAATTCTTATAGTTTAACCTGAGTTTATATTCTGGCAAATAGATTGGTTGTATGGAAGTTTTCTTGGTTTCTCTCCTGTTTTATGTGAATATAGATCAGATTTCCTTAGAAAATTTTCTACAAAGACATTCCTTCACTTAGGCAGGTAACTCTTATGTTCTTTCTTTCTTTTTTTTTAAACATTCAAGCCAAAAGGTTATTAATAGCAAAATGAAAATTAATTATAAAAATCAAGAGGAATGCAAAAATTTGTTACAAAATTCAGTGCTTTAATACAACAAGCAAGATGAAAAAATGTAATTTCTGACAGTCGCTTAATATAAAAAAATGTATAAAAGCACATAAATTATTATACTATTGGCGAATCATAGAAAAAAATAATTGATGCAATAAAAGGCAATTTTGAAATGAAAACTACTACACCTCTATATTTTGCATAATTTTTCACAGATAATGGGATTCTTATCAAAATAAAGTGCTAAATGCATTGGATTTAAAAACAGAAATAACATACTATTTTCTTCACAGCACACACTTTGATAATGCATTGATTGCAATTACAGCAGATTCTTATTAATTTGAACTCACAGAGACTAGCAAAATTATCATAAGTTTAAATTATCAAAAGTCTTTCAGCTTTAAAATAAGGAAGGGAGACGAGTCAAAACATGAAAACAATTAAGAAACTAAAGAACAGGAAAAAATAAATAAATAAACAGAGCTAGCAATAAGGCCAGTTTAACTAGCATGGCTGAAACTAGATGCCAACATTTTGGAGGCGATAAGCAGCAGAATTTAAGAATAATGAGGATTGTACTGATGGGCAAAAATACCAGCACCAGCCCTGGAAACAAAAATACAATCTTTATTTACACTATATTTCCAAATAGATGCATAAATTTTCACATCCTAATAAAAGAACTGATCAATTATGTCTATTCGTTCCAATTAATTTTAGGTATTTCAGTAGGTTTTTCGACTGACTACAAAACTTGATTTTTCTATTAGCACTAAACAAGCTTCTGACACATTTTGTAGATAACTTAAATTTACAAACTGTTGTCAATAGATAAATAATCTGCAAAAATTAAATTATGACATTTGATTTTTTAGATAAGTTAAAAAATTAAAGTTAGAAGTTAGAAATTAAGTAGCTTATCTACTACTCTGTAATTCACAGATAAGTGAATGAATAGACCATATTGAAAGTAGATGATGGCTGTCATAGGTTTCTCCACAAACCATGAAGCATACAAATTGTTGATAGCTGATAGTAAAGTTATGTCATAACTTTCCTTATAATCCAGCAAAAATAAAACTTGTTCCAAGAATCTCTTAACAACAGAATGTAAAGGAACTCTTGTAAACATATGCATAATAATTAGTAACAAAACTTTTATAAACATATGAAAACAGCTGCAAATTTTCTAAGAATTCTTATATAGCTAGCTTACAATTTACAACTGCTGCTAAAAGTTTATTTCAGATCGTCAAGTGTTAAGTATTGGAATCAATTCTTTGAAATGATTTAATAAAAGTGTGTTTCTAGGAAAAGTTGTTGCTATCTTCGAGTTGCCAGAAATGGCTAATGAATTAAATGATGAATTATCTGCATCCCTCTGAAATAGATTTCAGAGGAATGCAGATAATGGAGTACACAAGATTAGACAGCATTTTATTAAAGGACATAGTATGCATATATGGTTAATAACAAAAACTGAACAGAAACTAAAAATATATGCATGCATCCTTCTTTAAAAAAAGGAACTTTGGGATTTTGTTCGAATTAAATCTTTAATTCAAACAAAATCCCAATTACTTCTCAATTAAGACATTTTGGGCCTTCAAATTTTATTTGACATAATTTGAAGCCATCTGTTTTACAGACTACACAAACACCATACACTTTATGATGCCTTGCAGGAGTTAATCTATAATTCATTCTAAAAACAGTTGAAAGTTATCTTTCTAAGAAATATGTTTAAAAAAACTAAATGAGAAAAATGTATATCACATCAATAAAAAAATGCATAATAAATTTTAGAAATTTCCTAAAAGCTACTATAAATTTAATTTCTTATCAGGTAATATAATATATTACTATTAACATAGGAAGTAAATAACATTTTTTAATCATCAGATGAACAAAATATGAAAAGTATATAATACCATAATGAATGCTGTTAAAAATTCAGTTATAGAAACTGCTACACATGGTGTTTAAAACTATGTGTAGACATAGAGACTCTTTTACCAGCCTGGGCCACTTACCTTATAAAGTCCCATTAAAAGAAAATTTTATTACTTATTCCCATACTTCAATTAAGAAATTTTTTATTTTGCTCCATCAAAAGCAAAATTAGATTACTAAAGATCTTTTGAATAAGTACATGACATTTTGAATACCTTCATACAGGCAAAAAAGACATATTACTGATACATTTACAAAATACAGGTGTAATTTAGATAAATAAATGGCAATTTGGATATAATCTTATAGCAATAAATAACAACACAAATTCTTAATTTTACAACTTAATAAAAATACTTAGTTCATTAAACCTGCCACATTATATTTCATCCTATAAAAAACACATGCTGAAATTGAGATGATACTATAAATACATAACATATAGAACAAAAAAATATGCGAGCTTTTTTAAAGCTAAATTTAAAGAAAACTAAAGCTTATGATATTAAACTTTTACAGAGGTGTGACTTTCATAGATGAAAAAGAAGAAACTTTAATATATAAAAAGATGAAAACTTACTCAAGCAAACAACTGAGAAGCATTTCGACAGTCTTTCCATCTCTATTGTTCAGCATTGTCATTTGAAAGAGATTTCTATAACTAGATGGTAGACGTACAGGTAAAGGTGGTGTATTTTCGTCAACTGCTTTCACTTGCAACATATTTCGAGGACAGTAATCAACTACAAAGTAGCTGTCATCCCTGCAATCAAACTTACTATTTATTATTATTATATATGCAAAATTAATTAAGTTAAATTATAATTAAACAGGCAAAGAATGAATTTAAAAATTGAAACTTAATTATTATTAAAAATATTAATCAAAAACATAGACGTACATTAGTAAGTCAAGAAATTAGTGTTTGACTGAGTTGGAAAAGTATTATTAAGTAAATATAAAAATACATTAAATGTAATTTATAAATACAATTTTGATGAAGCTGATTTATCAATGTCAAACATTTTCAAAAGGTGGCAGAGTCTAACACCATCACTACTGTTTACCTCGCATTATCAGACATGTCCGTGTTCATCTTAAATTAGCTGAGGTATCGGAATTAATTATTTTAAGTTATTTGTAATTATTTAAAAGGAAAGATGCCACTTCTACATGCCAAATTTGTCAAAAAGTAAAACAAATGCAATTATTAAGAAAGAAATTCAATGAATAAAAAATTCCAGTAAGTATGCCCAAAAAAGAGGCTAAATAACAATTTTTAGATGGACTTGGAAATAGGAACTTGGAAGTAACTTGATTATGCAAAGATATAATTTATGTTCTTTATTTAATTATTCCTTCAGAAAAGTGAAAATATCAACTACATTTAGGTCAGTAAGCTGTGTTCCTATTTCTTTTTGCATTAAAAACACTGAATGCATCACAGATTTTAGAACCAGCTTTAAATTTACTCTTCCCACCCAAACCTTTATGGAATGGAAAGAAGTTATTCTGAATAAAGTGAAACTAGCACTAAAAAGAATTCACAGTTTTAAAGGTTTTATTTTTTGGCCAGAGCTAAAAGAGACAATTTTTTAACTTAAGGCAAAATTCACTATTACAAAAATAGACAAAGAGAGTAATAATTTCAGTAGCATCTCTGAAAAATTCTAAAACTCTTGCTGAAAAAGGACTTAAACAACCAATTCAATTATCTATCACATTTCCAAAAGCAATGAAAAAGCAACTGTTAACGAGATTCATGCTTTTCATGAAAAACTTAAATTATTGCTCAATGAGTACAATAAATTTTCTAACTCATATGCACTGCCTAAGTTCATAAGAACCCACTCAAGTTCATATATTTTGCGAATGGCACCAGGAACCACAAGAAAAGTTTTGACTACATTATTTATCTTAACCTAAATAAAATTTGAAACTTATTTTTAAAAACGCAAATGAAGAATATCAGTTCAGTTGGATCATTAATAGCAACCTTCCCATTCTTAAAAGTAGTTAAAGAGATCAATATACTTCATATAAATTGCTATGATTTCGAATATTTACACATGACTGCCATTTAAAGAAATCTACAGCAGTCTACTACTGAATTGTTTCCAGAGATGCTTATAGCAGAAAAAGTACCTTTTTTTTTTTTTTTTTTTTTTTTTTTTGATTCCACTAAGTTTTACGATATTATTTATTTTCAAATAAATGGAATCCCTATGCAAACAAATCGTTCTACACAGATTTGTAACCTTTGCTTATTTGCAAAAGAGTACAAATTTCTTCTTTCACTTTCCTTAGATGACCTGCAAAAATGTTCTTTTATCTATAGGTATATTGATGATTATTGTTGCTTTCAACAGTTTTAATATCATTGAATCTTGAATCTTGCAATATCTACCTGTCATGTTTTAAACTTAACAAGACAACTCAGATCAATTGACTATTGCATCTTTGCATTTTCAATCACTATGAAGTAAGACTTTTTGACAAGAAAAGAGATTTCAGCTTTCTTTCAACTAAGCTTATTAATTGGACTACTACAAGTAATTATTTTACTTTCACTACTAATCAAGTTCCAAAGACATTTATTAAAAAACAGTTATAAAAGCTGAAGTAGTCTATGAACATTGAATGTTTTGTTACATAATGAATCCCATTCTTAAACATAACAGAAGGAATGAGGCGAATGAATAAGAAAGATTCATAATATGTAAGAAGTGTAATTTTTTAATTTTCAGTAAATTTCTCAAATTTTGTCATTTTTTCACATTCTGGCACTTACTTTTACTAAATATTGGACATTTCTGAAATGTCACTTTTGTAGCCAAAATATGTGGAGAACTATTACTCTGCTCCAGATTTCATTTTCTTTGTCAGAATTTACTTACTTATTCCATTTAAAAATTAACAGTTTTTCTTTTAAAGTGTTTGAAATTTCTTTCACCAGTATTACTTGGCGAAAATAAAAACTGCCAATAGTAACCTGCTTTATATTCCTTCTGACTTCCTTTTCCACCCACAATTTGCAACAGTCATTTTTCAAGATTACAGCTTGGGGTAAGTAATAATTTTCGTGGCTTATTTTTCTACATCTCTTTGTAAACTGATGTGAATAAGATTAAACTTTGATGACAATTTAATATGATTCATTCCAGATTGTACAAATTGCCGTTTTTTGCCATTTCGATAGACTTCATGTTTAAAGTTTCTTTTTAAATTCCTTACAGCCATTTTTTTGCATACTGTAATTTTTAATTCATAGAATTTCCATTTGAATAATTATATTTGTTTTACTTTTGTTTTGGCAGAATTATGCATGCAAAGATGGTGCCTTTAATTTTCAAAGGTACAAATAATTTAAAATAATTAACTTTGAAACTTCACTTAACTTGAGATGAACAGAAACATGTCTGATAATGTCAGATAAAGTAGTAGTGGCAGTGTTACACTGACAAAACAGCTTCATCAAAATTGCATTTAAAAACTGTATTAATATATTTCTATATTTATATTTACGTCATTATCCAACTCAGTCAAAGGCTAATTTCTTAACTTTAAAAAAATAAATTTACTAAAAATTTCTTTTTGGTTAATATTTTTAATAATTTGATATGGTTTTGAATGTCCAATTAACAAACATTTTTTAATTATATATATATTTATGAAAATAGAAAATAGAAAAGACAAATTCACATATAGACCTTTAAATTCTTTATTTTAATTTACGTATATCCCCCTTCGCTTTGCATCATTTACCTGCAATCACCCCCATTGCAAAAACTCTTGCCATATTTCTATCCTAAGATTATTATAATAAGAATTGCTATTTTGCTATCCGAAATTTCTATACGGAACTCAAGCAAAGTACTTCTGAGCTATAAATGCTTCACGGCCTTCTGCACATCCTCTTTTGCTGCTTGCACTGTCCTGATAAATCACATCTCTTCACTAAGCTCTATTTTCTCCCTTGTTTAAAATGTAACTGCATAGTTTAAACTTGGGGGTGCAAATTGCCTCAATTGTGCTGTGATATATAATGAGATATGTTATATGCAATAAGAATCAACAAGTAATAAAGAGATGTTTGGGTTATCAAGTTATTTTGTTATTCTTCAAAAGAGTTCCAGTTATCTACTATGCCACAGAATCAAGCTATCTGCCATCACCATCCCTGCCACTCCAGCCATGATTGTTAGTTACATACCATATAAATTATCATATATATATATATTTCAGAATTTAAATAATATTGTAAATTAGTTCACAATAACAATTAATCTTTCATTTGTATGCAATTAAAATTTCAAAATTTAAATTAACTTTAAATTAGCTGTATACAAAATACAGAATATTTGTTAAATTCATATATATATATGTGTGTGTGTGTGTGTGTGTGTGTGTGTGTGTGTGTGGTTTTTGTCTTGGGCAAGTCACTACTCATCTTAAAACAAAATAAATACAGCATTTACAAATTAAAAATAAACATTAATACATATTTAACATCTTCATCTCACTTCTTCGATTTTTTTTAAAAACTAAACTGACATGAGTTCTATCATTTACACTCATGCAGTAAACAATTAAATTGGATAGCTTGTTAGACTATGGAGTTAGATTTGTAAAAAAAACCCACATTCAGCCTTCTTGTAATGCATCAACCTCGATGACATTATAATCTTGACATCAAATAAAACTTTACTAAACATCTTACATCATCCATCATCTTTTCTGAGAAAGGATCCACCATCATCATTTAATTGAAACCTAAAAAGAATTAATGCAAGATAGAGAGAGTAAGGACAATTTTAAAAGGAAGCATCGTAACTGCCCTTCAGCACTGCAACTATAGATCGTTAACATTTTTGCTTATATTTCAAATGGAAATATGTCTTCTGTTTTTCACAGCATTATTAGAAAGCTTAATTTCAACTTAAATGTAAAAACTTGTTGCAATAAATATCACAATTAGGAGAAAAGTCACAATTCAGTTATTAAATTCATCAGTCCAGGTTTATAAGTCACAACCAGTATTATTCTGTGCATCTTCTTCTCCTCAGATATATTGTTTTATGCATTCAGTGCATGAAGTTGCTTTTGTCGGTCCTTCATGATCTTCTTTTGCAGCATCATAGGTGCCATTATTCTTTCTTTTGATAATCTTATATGGGCCTAAATATTTTAATTTTAACTTCAGGTTTGTTCCAAACTGAGTTCTTTTGATTGCTACTAAATCATTAATGTCAAAACATTTTGTAGAATGTCTTTGAAGGTTATATGTTTTCTTACTTTCTTTGTATACCTTAAATATTTGTTTCTTTCCATTTTTTTAAGTTCTTCTCGACAAGTTTCAAAATTATTTTGAAGTTAAGCGTCAATTAGTTCTTTAATATTCATTTTAGTTCCAAATAATAACTCAAAAGGAGTAGTGTTTGTGCTTCTTTGATAAGATGAATTAATTAACTGTTGCACTTTGTTAACATATTTTAACTATTTTGTTAATTGTCAAATGATAATTTTGAAAGAATAGAAATCATAACTTGATTTATGTGCTCAATCTGCCCACTAGCATGCAATAATTCAGTAGTAATTAAATAATGATTGACATTTTCATTGGTACGGCAATCTCTAAATTCATTTGATATATAAGCAGTACCTCTGTCTGAAATGGTTTGAAAAAGATTTCCAAATACAGTTTTCTGTAAATTCAATTTAGAAACTGTTTCAGTTGATGATGTAGTTTTAATAGGATACAGACAGGCAAATTTTGTAAAACTATCGATAACAGCCAAAATATAGTTTCTATTAGTACTTTATATATAGTATTATTCTATTAGTACTATATAGTTTCTATTAGTACTTTCAAGTGGACCTAAATAATCAATATAAATATCTAACAGTAAACCTTCTTTATGTAATGGATGTAGAAAACCCTCGTTTCCAGTTTGCAAAAATATATTTCATGCAATTTGCAACAAGTCCTCCAAATTTTTTCTTGCTTTAGGTATAAAATACGATTGCTTGAGACAGTCCTCTGTTATTTTAATACTTACATGCCCCTTTTCATGAGTATTTTAATTATTTCCATCTGTGGGCATGATGGTATAACTGGAACCTCTCTGCTATCAATAAATTTATATAAAAGCCATACAACAGTATCAGTTGATACGCAAAAGGTAACAGGATTTCTACTCAATGCATCCACGAGTCATCTTCTACCCAGATCTATGTTTTATAATATAAATGAATTCTTCTAATAATAGAGCCCACCTAGCAACACGTTTAGTTAAATCATGTTTATCTATAGTTTTCTGAAAAGTAGCACAATCTGTGATAATTTTAAAAGGGCTACCCAATAAATAAATTCAGAACTTTTTAAATTCTTCTATAATGGCCAAAACTTTCAAATTCACAACTCAAGTAGTTTTTCTCAACATCAGTAGTTTTCCTGCTCATAAAATATATCAGATGAAATTTATTATCCCCAGGAGATATTTGTAATGGTATTGCACCGTATCCATCTATAATAGCATCATACTTAGAACTGTATATATTTAATACCGGTTTGGGGGATAATATAATTTTCAGTTTATTAAAAGCATATCGTTGTTCTTCACCAAATTTAAATTTACTACCATTCTTCAAAGTATTGCTTAGAGGTTTAGCAATAAGTGAATAACCAAACATAAATTTTCTTAAGTAACCTGTTAACCCTAAAAAAACTTTGGATTTGTTTTAAAGCAGATGGTTCTGGAAATTTTAAAACTGATCTGGTTTTTAATTCAGATGGTTCTACAGATTCAGATGGTTGCATCTATGTTCAGTTACATGTCCTAAAAATTCTACTCTTTTAAAGTTGACTTACTCGCATCAGAAATGCACACTATTTAATCCATAGCTGAATATCACAATCCACTAGCACAACAAGCGATGAAGTACAAAAATGTCAGCCTTAAACAATGACTTGTTTAATTCTGCTTCTGACAACATTATTGTGGGTTTTTGTCTTAGGCAAGTCACTGCTCATCTTAAAATGAAACAAATTTAATGATAAATACAATATTTACAAGTTAAAAAATAAACATTGGTATATACATATTTAACATCTTAAAATAACATCGTTCTTCTCACTTCTTAATTTTTTTTCAAACCTAACCTGGTGAGAATTCCATCATATACACTCATGCAGTAAATAATTAAATTGGACGGAGCATAAGAAAAAGTTTTAGACCATGGAGTAAGCTATGTAAAACCCCACCAAATTTTGTTTGTAATTTTATTTACTTTTTGTGATATGTATATTTATTTACTTATTAGAAACTTATATATATATTAGAAACATGAGAAATTGCACGTAATTGAGAATAAAATAAACACATATTTTATATAAAGGAGAAAATTTGTAAAATAAACAATTGATAATAGGAGCATATCTGTTATGCAAATGAACTAATTTTGATTTACACTTACAGAAATGTGGCATTTGGAAACTACCACCTGACCACAGCAAATCTTCACATGCTGATAACTATAAGATTTAGGAATAATATAAGAATATCAGGTTATATTTATAGTTTTAGGATATTATAACAATAGGCTTAGGGATGAAGCAGATCTGGCATCGAGCAGATGTGCACTAAGCATGCTATGTAATGGAAGCAGAAGTGCTATGCGCAAGCTAAGGATAGTGTGGCTGTACTCATTTCACTACAGAATCATTTAATATCTACACTCAAGTAACTAACTCAATGGTGTATTAACTTTTGTGAATGGCTAATGCAACAAAAAGAAACAAGCAATGCTTTCATTCATATAGCTTATGAATAAGTAAAGCATGTTTCACATCAGCCATCTATGACAGTTCAATCTTCATACAATTTGCATGCAAAGCCATTACTTTGATTACTCTGTAAATATGTGGATAAACAAATTGGGCAGTTGCATTTATCTTCAGCTTCAGACTAGATGTCTTTATTCATCTTCAACTGAAAAAAAAAGGGGGGCCTTTGGATATCCATAATTAGTTATTCTCTATGAGGTACTAACTGATTTCATGCATGACTTACACTTATTGGCACTATGTAGCCTACAATTATAGCCTGATGGAGCACTGCATGTTTCAGTTCTTTTGTGCATGATTAGTAAGATTAGGAACTTACAGGTCATTGGATTGGATGTCGGGATTTGGTTGTATTCCCACAATCATAACTGACACTTCCTTAGTGTTCAACTTCACACTGCCATCACTTTTGGCTCATTAAATGCAATTCACATTACTGAATTTAGTCCAGTCAGCCATTCCATGGTGCACACAAGCATACCTCAATGGGTACAGTAGCTATTTTTAGAATTTCCTTATGTAAATATTATGTCCCATAAATGATGAGACATTAGATATTTTTCTTCATCCTTTTTTATCAACAATTATAATTTGTAAAAGTCTAATTTTTGGGTTATTTTTTATGTATTCCAAGCAAGGAGTCTGCCAAGCAAGTGCTCACCTTGCAAAGTTTATTCAGTTTCAATGAGACATCCTGTATACATGAGAAAACAAATAAGATCATTTATCACCTTTTCAACACATGTGAAAATGCTCTTGAAAAAGTGATAAATAAACTATTTTAATATGCCCCAAACAACAATTATTGAGAGCATTTAATTTTGTGTCTTGTTTCCATTCAGAATGAAAACAATCTAAATGATCAAACTGTGTAGATAAATTAATAATACACTGACACGAAATGACAAAACATGAGATTTATTTTAAAATCCATAGAAAAATTAGTCAAATAATATTTGAGTAATTATTATTTCAGAGTCTGGAAAACAATATAAAACGTAAGAAGACACAGTGATATAAGAATAGAGAATACTTATTTATAAATTCCTAAAAACTAAACAGGTTTCTCTACAAAATGGAGCATTGGAAAATAATTTTGTATTGTCCTCAGAAGAAATCACTTCTTCATTTATCAACTGTTACATTTCTAAAATATTTATAAATAATTTAGCTGAGACTTAAATTTAATAAAACAGTCCTCTTATTTAGTGTTTAAACTGTATCGGATGAAAACCTGCCTGCAGTAAAACAGCATGAAGACTTGAGTACTGAATTCATGGTAGCCACTGTGAATGAAATTTAATTTCCTACAGATTAAACTTGGCTTTAATTGCTTCATTTAATTCATTAAATTTAACCTGAAAAACTATTGAAGTTATAATCATTTGTGAAAAAAGATGTGAAACAACTTGTCTAAGCAATATTATAATTTTAATATTCACATGGTAATATGTACTTCAAACTTTAATTTTGAAGCATAAGTATTATCTTACAAAAGATAAAAACCTTAATTATGTATTGAAACAACACTTATGAGACACTTACAATGAAAAAAACTTTACACATAAATACTGTGGAAGAAAAAAAAAATGCTTACCCCTTTTTACGCGTGACAACTAATAAATCTGTGAACAGAAAGAGATATAACTGAATTTTACACCAACGGCTACTACGACCAAATGTCCTACGATTAGTGTTGTCCAATAGAAGTTGCACCAATTCTCCTTTCTTAACCAACCAACGGGATGCTGACAACAAGCCAAACCCCTAAATGCATAAAAATGTGTTTATATGAAATTTATAATTCACTAATGCACATACATATATATTAAATATGTCTTGTATATGAAATGCTTGAAATAAAAATATGGTTTCTGGTAAAAACATTAATCTGAAATAAGTTTTATATTAAAATTCATAATAATAATACTATTTAAAAGTAGTTGAGATTTACGTAATCCTCTTCTGATACATTTTACTAATTTGCATGACAAAACTAATTTGTAATTAAAAAATGCTGTACTGTTTCTTTACTTTTCAGGCCATATGTTTAAAAGAGAACATTTTAAAACTGACTCATGTTGGAGTTCAAATGCTTACTGAAATTAAGATTCATAAATACCTATTCTTAATAATTTTATAAGATTATCTATCTGCTAAACTATCGTAAGTGCATGTTCAGAATTATTAAAACTTAATCTGGGTAGACATTTCAAACTATTTATCAGAGATAAAAATATTTTTCATTCAGTCATATGAGTTACCTGCTTCTAATTTTGAATCATTCATAAGAAAGCTTAATAAATAATGCCTGTCAGACTTTCTACAGCTTGTATTTTAAGAGTAGTTCAAATTACAAATAAACTACTTGGAGACATAGTTATACTACAGAAATATATAAAATAAGAATATAACATTAATTAAATAAAATATATAGGGAATTATCTTTTTAATTTTATAATTAAAAAGACTCTATAAAAGACTCAGAATTACACAACACTCAGTACAAAAAAATCAGAATTACTCAAAGGTACTGAATGTATCAAAAATTCTAATTGCTTAGCATTTTCTAGACTGGATTGGGATATCTGTATTGTGTCAAAGTATGCGAGGACTATCTAGCTGATGCTTTTATGAAGGATTTTCTTCTAAAGAAACGGGCTCATATTCATGAAGGAAATCATAAAAACTTCCATACAGCTGGGATTTAAACCAAGACTGTTCACTGGGATTTGTACCTCAGCCAAATACCATAATTCATCAACATTTTCCACGAAAATATACAATGAAAACTAAGGAATTAACAGAAAAGAGGAACATAAAGTCTGTATATAAAACAAACTATACAATTGCTTATACTGACAGTTAGAAGAAAATTATAATAAGGGCTGTTATATTAGCGATTAATATTATCTTAGTATTTAACTCTCTATGTTTTGTTTTATTAATACAGTAAAAAGTCTGAGCTCTGGACCTCCAATATCTGGAATGATCTAATATTCAAACCACCAGCTTGGGGGGGGGGAGAATTCCCTTTTACAGAGTCTAGGAATGGAAAATACTCTTTCCAAAAGCTGCAGCTGTGCAGTAAATGCCATTTTTCTCCTAACCGAGATACATGCATGATGTCACTTTCAAACACCTGCTGGCTAGGGAATCACACTGTTACCAATTACAATACATTGATTACTACTGTATTGATATAGGCCACAATCAATCACATTTTCAACCACAGTGGATAGCATTTTTCTGTCTGACCTGAACAAAAAGTGAAGCTCTAAGATTGCTATGTCTACTTACCAACTTATTAAATTTAAACTGATGATCTAAAATCTGGAATCACTCATGACCCAGGGATTCTGGACCTCAGACTTTGTACTGCATAAATTTATTTTAGTATAAAAACAACATAAATAAATTGGTAATTTTGTTTATTTCAAAAATTTTAGTAACTTACTTTACAATCCTTAAAATCCAGTTGCTGACTAATAACTAACATTTCTTCCATTCGTTCCATTTTACGTGCACCCTCATTGCATTCTGCAACAAGCTAAGCATATGGAAATAAAGCAGATTTATAACCTTCAGTGAAACTTACATTTAAAAAAAATTACATAAAAACTAATATTTAATTTTGAAATAAAATTACTGAAAAACCTTAAAGAGAATAAATTAAACATTCATATGAATTAAAAGAATTTTTACTTTTTTGCACATAAAAATTTTTTGCCTGCTGTATATGATTTAAATTTTTACATAATTTTTTAAGTCACTTTTAAATAATAAAAGAATAATAGAGTTTTTCACAGATATAGATATAAAATATTTTATAAACTTTGTGATTGTTTTGTAAAATTAAGAACAGCATGTAATTTTATATGATGAAATGCAAAACTCAGATTACCTTATTTACCATTGCCAGTGCCATTTTGCAACTCTCATAAATAGGTGAGTCAACTGTGAGCCGATGAAAAATAGCATCAATAAGCAAAGGTAAGCGTGTTATTCTTTGCATTGGTAACATCAGAAAGGAATGCATGTCCAAACCTTGACATACTGGATTAGATTCTAATCTTTTCAGAACTGTTACAAAATCTGGTCTTTTCTCTCTGGAAAAAAAAAAAAAAAAAAAAAAAAAAAAAAAACTAAATAATCATAACAAGAAGGTTACATTGAATAACATAGAACTGGAAACTGATTACATTGATCGAGTACAAATTTCAATTATTTAAAATAATTTTTCCTTTATAAACTATTTTCCACATATTTCAACTTATTCCATTTTATTTTCAATCTCAATTTTCACAGAATGAAAGTTCTTTTACATTTGCCTTGTCTTAAAGCAACTTGATAAAATGTCTTTAACAGCACACTTTCAATTAAATTTAACGAAATTAAGCTAACAGAAATGAGGGCTACATTAAAATAAAGCATTTACAGAACATTTTTAACTTGATGATATGAAAAAAGATTTTTATGTGGAATAAATTAGCTTAAATATGTACATCTGCCAATATTTACAGTATCCATATCTCTAATTATATAGAACAAATGTTTGTAAAGATGCAAATATTCATGATTTAGAGACTTTCATGATAAACATATGGGAAAATCACTGAATATTTTTTATCCAATCTTTTTTTTAAAGATTTTTCATTAATAAAGCAGCTTTAAATAATAATTTGAAAAAAGATTCAGACAATTTAAAATTTCCCCCCCCTTCAGATTATGCTCTCAAAAAAAAAAAAAAATCAAAGGATTTAAAATTTTTTCCCCCTTCAAATTATGCTCTCATCTTTCCGTCTGATACATATATATTTCTTAAGAAGTTGCATAAATAGGAGGCATATTTTTAAAGTAAGTACTGTTTTGAAATTCACGGTCAGTAGTGCTATGGTTGGTACTCTGCACATGCATGCTAGTATTTACCCACATTTGTTGGCAATCCCAGGTTAACCTTTGTTTTTGAGTATTTAAAATGCTTCTACTGACCGAGAATTCTTCTAACCAGTGATTTGTTTTCTTAGTGCTAAAGAAGTGAAAGCGGCTGAAATTCATCATCAGATTAGTGCAGTGTACACATAATGTATATTATGAGCAATGTAATGGTATGAAAATGGGTTAGAGCATTTAAAGATGGCTGCACAAATGTTGATGATGAATGAAGTGGGCGACCTTCAATCAGTACTGAAGATTTGGTCCAAAAAGTTGCCGAATAAGTGGAATAGAACAGATGTTATACAATTTTTTCATTACCTGATGAATTACCCTCAGGTTTCACGCCCTGTTCTATATAAAATTGTGAGCAAATGCTTAAATTATCAAAAACTGTGAACACACTAGGTAGAAAGAATGTTGAGAGATGTGCACAAAACCAAACGTTTAGGTAGTGCTTTAACTTTTCTTCAACAGTATAGCGAGGAAGGTGATGATTTTTTAAGCCAAACTGTCACAGGCGATGAAACTTGGGTGGCTTATGTTACACCAGAATCAAAGCACCATGGAATGGCAGCATTCATTATCAACCAAGAGAGTGAAGTTCAGGCAAACAGTTTCAGTCCAGAAAATCACGTATACTGTGTTTTGGGACAGGAAGGAGTTGTTGCTCGTGAACTTTTTGCAACCTAATGACACAATAAATTTTATGACATACTGTGGGACATTAAACAAACTGCACCATGCAATTCAAAACAAAAGGCAAAAGGCATGCTGAGCTGGAGGATCATTTTGCTTCCTGATAATGTAAAGTCACAGTCTAGCACAGAGCAACTACCATCTGTTTTTGCACTTGAAGAAGCATGGTCATTGTGGTCTTTACCACAATGACGATGAAGTCAAAACAGATGTATTACAGGGGGTGTAATCAGGTGGCAGAAGAGGGGATTCAAAAATCGGTTGTATGATATAATAAATGCCTTAATATTGGCAGAAATTAAGTAGAAAAATTGACAGGTACAAACTTTCATATAAAAATAAAATTGGTAAGAAAATCCTACTTGTTTCTTTTTTATTTCCAAAAGGCAGTTACTTTAAAAACATGACTCATATATAACACATACATTTAAAAAGTTACATAATTTAAGCTTATAAATTAATAACCTCAGCTTTAATAAAAAGTAAAGTGTTTTATATGTTATGCTTATTTTCATAAACTTAAATCTTACTTGAGTTCTTTTAAAGTTCTTTCCTGGTACAACTGATTTGAGCAATACTTCACATAAACTGAGAAATATTTACTAGCATGCTCATATACAATATCACATACATTGCTCAGCACTATATTTTCAAGCCATCTCTTCTCCAGATCTGCAAGAAGACTAAAAAAGACAATTTTAAAATTAGATTTAATAGAGAATAAAATCTCAAAATTACACAATTCAAAATTAAAGTAACAAGATAAATGTGTAGGATAAATGAAATACCTGCAAATAATATTTCAACAGCATATTCAAACAACTTCAGCACTTTGAATTCGTATGGAAAAAATTCATCATTAAAAGTGCATAAGACATTTAAAAACAGTCTCGTACAGATAATTTTGATTTGTTTACATCTAACACTTCAAAAAAGTTGATAAAATTTTAAGAAACATTAGAAAATTAGTATTACCTAATAATAAGTCTAATTAAGCATGTTTTTGGCCCCTAAGAATAGAGATATTTGACACTCTGGTCCTGATTTCCTTGTTTCCACGAGAAAGACACAGGGTTATGGTAAGCTTATAGAATGATTTGGCCGCCCCATAAAATCTGCAGCCAGACTTTGCAAGAGGCTAGTAATAAGGGGTCTTACTGTCAGATATGTAATAATAATTTAAATTTATCAAATGCTATTGCAGGTAACTAAACTAACCAACCTACACGAGCTCATAATAATATAAACAAATCTAACCAAAGAAAAAGATCAAGGGAAAAAAATCATTATATTATGCAATTATTAATCATTATATTACTCAATTATATTATGCAGTGAGTGTCCATTAAACTGGTAAGAACCTAGTTTAAAAGAAACTTTTAATCCGAAAGGATATGATCAAGTCTCTCAAGGAACAAATTATTTTCCTCAGACTTCATTAAAAGAAAATAAAATCAAAATTAGGAGGACAAAAAATTGCCACTGTCCTTCATCGCATAAAATAAATGTCAAAGAAACAAAAAATTACAAAATAAAAGCTTTCAAACTTTCAAAGGAAAAGAACTGACATTAATAACCATTATTTAATGCCAGTAAATTTTAATCAATTGTTTAAGTCTGCACATATATCTAACATACATACAGAAGCTTTTTAAATGATTTTATCACTCAAAAATGTTTAAAAAAATGATTAATATAGCAATAATATGACTCATAATAGAAAATTTATTAATTTTTTCTATTCTGACAGATAAGCTTTATGCTCTTTAATGTGAAATCTAAAGCTCTCTTATTCTGAGCAATGCATGCTAAATAACACTATATATAGAATTATAAAAAAATCCTCCCCAAAATTAAAATCTGATGTAGAGTTTTTAATCTCTTACAAATTTTTTAATCAAATGACATGAAATTACTTAGCAGATTGTCTTAATTATACTAGCCTAATTTGCAAGATCTTTCATAATCAGTACATGTAAAAATGACTTTACTCTCCTTTATCATGAGGTTAAATGTGCATATGAGAAAAGCACAGTTCAATAAAACAGAAACTGGAAGCACCGTTATTCTGCAATTTATATAAATTAAATAAAGCAGAAACTGAAGCATCATTGTTTTGAAATTTACATAAATTAAATCCTTGTACAACATTTGGGAGATTTAAAAAAGAAAAAAGGGCCTTCTCAAGTCATAGGTAATAATGTTTCAAGGCTAACTATGGTTATCTAAAACTGCATGCAATACAATAATTTTCTGAAATCATATGATAGGTGGGTCTAATATAAAGCCCATAAGTCAGATTTGTGTAAACCGGGATTCAATTTTGCATATAAATATAACAAAGTTTTAACTCTTCAAGCTCAGTAGGTACTCCCTTAAAATTAATGTATATGTTGACTAAAAGCAATTTTCTATTTCTTTTATTCTGTACATTTGTCTCACCAGGCTAGTTTGTATAGTTTTTTCCTTGCACCATTAATGTGTTTCTCATTTACTTTTAACCAGCGGACGCGTCAGGAAATGAACCAGAAAAATTGAGACTTAAGTTATATTAGGTATGTCTGTTTAATACTCAAAAAGTTTTTGTGTTCAGTCCATTCTCTTTTCGACGAAGCATTCTTTCTTGATAAGTCCGTATGAGATTCGATTAGGCTAATTACCATTTCTGCTCTTGAAATTTTATTTGTTTTAAATAATTTTTGTTGTAATTAAAATGTTTAGTGTTTAACTTTCATCAAACATTTTTTAGGCTATGAGTTTACATTCATTTTTATGTCGTTTTCGTGTTTAGTTTCATACTTCTTATTTTAACTTTTGCATTACAATAGTTTTGCATAGTGTTAAAAATTTTACACAGAACCACAGCATCTCTTACTTTTAAGCATAGCCTGAGAATTTCCTTTTTACTTTGGTTTCAAATTTGCGTCAATGTGCAAAATTCTTGTCCACACATCTTTTTAGTTTGTTCCTTTTCCTTTATATATATATCTATATAATTACAAACATAATATATTTACTATATAATGTGGGAAATAATTAAAATAAATGTGTTACTTATTTACTTTAAGCATTATTACAATGCTGATGGCTTCGTAAAAATTAATATACTTGTCTGATGACTCCCTGATATATTTTTAAAATGTAAAATTTCTTCACAGCAAGGTAATATTTTTTTACTTTAGCCTTGTATATGATCTTTGAAATTTTTAACCTTTTTTATAGTTCAACTGAGATTTGCTAAACTTGCAACTGTCATATGCTTTTCTGATGGATGTGGATCTGAAATATCTGTTTCTTCAGTTGCAATTTGCTCATGCATCTTTAGAACCTCTTAAAATACACATTGTTAAACACAGCTTTAAAACTTATTGCAAAATTAGCATATGTAAGAAGCATGCTAAACCTCAAATTTCTTCTAACAAGTGTTTTCGTCTACTTTAGAAAATTCTGTAGATGTAAAGACTAATCATGTGTATAGGCAACAGGGGGGAAAAATCTCAATATTAAGATGAATTTTGTGTCTTGTTATTAATGTTGAAGGCATGTGTTGTTTGATCTGAATGTCATATTTTAATGAAGCAGCATGGTACTGCAATAGGTATAAAAATATAATTTATTCCACATACAGAAATGAAATTCTTACAGGAGCACTGTAGCACCCCCTCACTCTCAGCGGACCTGTCAGAAATGAATCTGATGGAAGACAGAAGTTATGACAGAAAAACATACACACGGTATGTGGACCTCTTGCTGATTGGCCGATATGGTACATTTCTCACTCGCATGAATGAAATACTACAGAGTATGAAGTCATGATTACAAATGATAATAAATATTTACAATATATACAGAAAATGGCGATATAACACAAAATTAGTGAAATACAGAAAATGAAATACAATGTAATAAGTTTATATACATGATCATAGGTGCAGTAGGAACATGTGCGTAATACAAAACATTATATATAGTACAAGTTTGCACTTAAGGAATGTAGTCTGTGACTAAATGCTTCAGAAAATCAAACCTTATGTTCACTTTTAGCGGTAGATGTTTGATTAAAGCATTGTAAGAAGGGAGCTGAAACAGTAAAAGGTAAAGATGGGAAATGAGTAATATCATCTGACAGGTGATAAGCAGGCTTTATGTGATCAATTGAAAGTATAGTATGTTTTCTATTTACATCAATAATAAAATTCTCATCATTTCTGTCAATGACTAAACGAGGTCCAGCAAAAGGTGGTATCAGTGGAGGATTAACTTTATCAGATCTTAAAAATTTATGAGAACAAGTTTTTAATGAGGGATTTATGAACATTTTATGACCAGCATGAAAGGTTGTTATAAACAAACTGAGAAGTTGCTTTGACAGCCTCCTTAACGGCTCAACATATGCCTAAGAAAACAAGAGGGAGAGTTTCTGTCCATTGCACTGTATTATGTGCATTAAGAGCAGTTTTAAGATGCCAATGGAAGTGTTCAATAATTCCATTTCACTAGAAGTGGTATGCAGAGGTTCGAATCCTGTTGCACTTATTCAAAATTTTTACCCTGACTCCTGTGACTGGGCATCAAAATCTGGCTATCCAGCAATGTATTATGGCACAAGATGCTGTTTCCACAGTCATGTCGATTGCTGGAACAGCTTTTGGCCATCTTGTGAATCAGTCTATGATATTAGATGGAGAGACAGGGCCTATAAAATCTACATCTATGTGGGCAAAATGAGCATCTAGTTCAGCAAATGTGCCAATACGAAATTTGGTATGTTCAGTGATTTTAGCTCGTTTCTTAGGTACATGTGAGCTGCACACAAAAGATTAAATTTTTTGGGGGGGAGGGCATGCCTCTGCATACAAAACCTTTAGCAATTAAATCGAAGAAGGCTGAAATACTGGGATGAAATAAAAAATGTAATAAAATGAAAAAGATTTTGAAAACTGTTAATCTCATACACTGGGAAACAAAAGGATGGGGATGTTTTGCGGACATACTGTAATACAGATCAATGTCCCCGAGAGAGAAATATGTGTTTTTAAAGAGGAGGTATTGGATGCTAAAAGTTTTTGAAGTTCTTCATTGTTTGATTGAGCAGCAGCGGGTTTTTGAAAATTGACACAGTATATGAAATGTTATTTATCTCAATTTGTGATAGTGCATCAGCGAAAATGCCACTAAAGCCTTTAGTATATTCAATATCAGTGGTAAACTGGGAGACAAAATCCAAATGATGTTATTGGCGAGAACTGCATTTGTCAGGATGTAGCTGGAATGCAAATTTAAGGAGTTTCTTATCAATGTAGAAGATAAAATTCCTTCCTTCAAGCATATACATTTTTTTTCCCTGAAGAGAACATAGCATAGAGTTCACAGTCATGAGAAAATAACTTTTTAGATTTACTTAGTTCAGCTGAGTAGAAAGCTGTAGGTGCCCATTGTTGTTTATAAAATTGTATAGCGTCTATAAAAATTAAAGAAACCCAAGAATTGGCACAAGTGAGTGAAGGTCTGCGGTTGAGGAAAAATCTAGGATGCATTTTACGTGATCAAGAATGGGTTCAATTCCTTCACCCAATAATTTAAATCCTAGAAAGTCTATGGTAAATTGGCCAATTTGGTCTTTCTCAACTTTTATACACAAACCATATTCATGAAGTTTAGAAAATAGTAGGCTTAAATGCTC